CATTAGTAGTCGAAAGCGTAATTTTGCTGTTTGCCGGATTTTACTTTCTTGCGTGGTCGCAATAATATCCTGCTTGTCGCTCATCTGATCGAGATCTGATTATTTATGTGGTCAAAAGGATACATCCAGCATCCTTTGCTCTCTCTGTCACAACTAGCATTCGAGTTAAGAACAGCTAATCAAATTTCCATTCTAAATTATATTCTTTAAGAAACCTGTTGATAGTCTTTGGATGTGTGATGTAGTTGACATCGGTGGTGACATAGCGTGGTCCATACGTGGTACTTCCCAGTGCCCGGCCAATATCATTGATGAACAGATGTGTTATCTCAACATACGGTGCACTCTCGCTGCTACCATATTCCGAGCTGTACAGCAAAGTCTCGGCATCTTTATTGAGCACTCGAATTGCCAGTGGTATACGATCCACAATCTCGCAACGATCCTGCGCTGTTGCTCGTGCTTCACCTGGCCGACACGTACAGTGAACACCTCCAACACACACCTCATTGAGTGCCAGCGTGCAATAGTGATTCCGACCGCAGGGAATTCCGTCGATGCGAGGCACATCTTGAGGCACGACCACTGTGACTTTTTCTTTTTGGAATTCTGAAATTAAAGAAAGTTTTTTTCGAAATTTTTTAATAAGAAATGCACTTTAAAAAAGTTCTGGAAATTTCTTCTGGAAAACTCATCAAAAAACCTTTTTTTCGACAATTTTACACAGTTTAGAGCTCTGACCTAGGGCTTCTTGAAATACTGGATTTTTTTTTAATTTAAAAAGTAATTTTAAAATAAAGTTTGTAAAGCTAATCAAAATACAAGCAAAGATATGCTCCTTTTAATGCTCATCATTTCAGAAAACTAGCAAGCTCTGTCCGTGCTTGACGAAATAAACCAAAACTCCAAAACTGATTTAAATTTTCAAAAAAAAGAACGTAGAAGTTGGTGGCTGGAGTACAGATGAAAGTTTTTCTCGGATATTATAAACCTGGATGCTACAAAAGATAATGTGAAAATATACCTGGAAAATTTTATAAAGTAAGGCGTGCCTAAACGCTTAAAGAAGACAGTTGCTAGAAATGGAACCTAAATAATTAATCAGCGGACTTGCAAAATACGCCGAGACTGCCAAAACCATTGAAACAGTCTGGGAATCTTGTGTTAGAAGTGTCACTGGGACGATCCCAAATACGGGGCGCAACTGAGCCAGAACCTTCTTTCATGAGCCATATCTCTCGTTATCAACTACTGCTTGTTCGATGTTTTGCGCTACGTGTTCAGAAACTCCTCCTCTCCTCCTCCCCCCCCCCCCCCCCCCCCCCCCCCCCCCC